AAAAACAAGAAAAATGATAAGCCCCAGAAATAGCCAAGCAAGAGGAATATCATAAACATCTTGTAAAATTTCATCTATAGTGTAATTAAAAAGGCTGTGAAAGCCTTGAACGGTTATATTTTCTGACATTTTCAATCAAAAGAAATCTTGTATTTATTTTATTTTATTTTCAACCGAAAGAAATCTTACCTGTAATGACCGTTGCCTGCCAGTAGGTGGCAGGTGCACTTGAATCCACGTGGCAGGCGAGTCAGAACCGGAAGAAAATTCTGAAATATATATACTCAAATCCAGAGGTTAAATTCACAGACTGTGTGCTGTGTGGGTTACCTAACTACAGCCAAGCGGGTGGCGGCGTAGGCCAGACTCAACTGGGGCAGTGGTGCTGGGTGTCCCCGCCCCGATTCCACCCGAGGCTGCTACTGAGCAGAGCTGGGAGCTGGCGCGCAGGAGCACGGGCACCGAATAGGGCAGGGAGCACTGAGGAAGGGCAGATGGCACCAGCCTTCGGATTAGCCTACAGTGGGGTGCCCTGAATGGTTTGCAGGACCCAAGGCACGTGATTTTGTTGCTCTAGGCTCCCTCACTCTTGGCTGGGAAAGCTGCTCGCAGCTAGGACGCAGGTCAAACGTGGGGACCCGCTGAATTTAATCAGTGGGGAACCCTCAGTACAGGGCTCCAAAGGGCCCCGCGGTGGAGCGCCAAAATGAAGGGTGTGGTTGATTGGTAGTTAGAATTAACCAGATTTGCTTAATATAAAATATTTAGCTTTAATAAACAGAATAAAGGGAACTTACAAAACCAGGGTTCCAGCAATCCAGAAGTGCAGAGAACAAAAGGGGCAGAGGCAAGACCTGGATTTTTATTTGTTTTCTTTGGCCCCAGGGGGACACACCCTAAACAGAATGTTATTGGCTGAGCTTCCCCATCACTCTTGTAGCATGATAGGGTATCTCTTGGGTATATTTCCAAGAGTGGTATTGCTGGATCCTGTGGTAGGTTGATCCCGAATTTCCTGAGAAACTGTCACACTGACTTCCAAAGTGGCCGCACAAGTTTGCATTCCCACCAACAATGGATGAGTGTTCCCCTTACTCCATATCCTCTCCAGCAAAGGCTATCATTGGTGTTTTTGATTTTAGCCATTCTGACAGGTGTAAGATGGTATCTCAAATTTGTTTTGATTTGCATTTCCCTGATAGCTAAGGAAGTTGAACATGTCCTTAAGTGTCTTTTGGTCATTTGAAATTCTTCTCTTGAGAATTCTCTGTTCAGTTCAGTGCCCCATTTTTTAATTGGGTTAATTAGCATTTTAAACTCTAGTTTCTTGAGTTCTTTATATATTTTGGAGATCAGACCTTTATCTGTTGCAGGGTTGGTGAAGATCTTCTCCCAGTCAGAAGGTAGCCTTTTTGTCTTACTGACAGTGTCCTTTGCTTTACAGCAGCTTCTCAGTTTTAGGAGGTCCCATTTATTCAGTGTTTCCCTTATTGTCTGTGCTACTGGGGTTCTACCTAGGAAGTGGCCTCCTGTGCCCATATGTTGTAGACTACTTCCCACTTTCTCTTCTATCAGGTTCAATGTGTTCAGATTGATATTGAGGTCTTTACTTCCTGTAAAGATACACTTTGAGCCCACATATGTAGCCCATGTTTTTTTTTAACTTGCACTTGCTTATTTTGTACCCATTGATGGCACATTTTAGGCACCTTTTTCCTCTTTTAAAAAAAAATTGGTATTTGATAAGCAACAAGTTCTTATAGTTTAACTTTTTTCTAGATTTATTTTATTTTATGTGTATGAATGTGTGCATATTTTGCCTGAATGTTTGTATGTATACCATGTATATACCTGATGCCTAGAGGTCAGAAGACAGCGTCAGATTCCCTGGAACTGAGTTGTGGATGGTTGTGAGCCAGCATGTGGGTGTGGAAAACCTGAACCCCTGTCCTCCTCGACAGCAATACATGCTCTTAACTACTGAGCCTTGTCTCCAGACCCTCATGGTTCAACATGTTAAAAGTATGCAGCCAGGCAGTGTTGGCACACATCTTTAATCCCAGAACTTGGGAAGTAGAGGCAGGTGAATCTCTGTGAGTTCAAGTCAGTCTGGTCTACATAGCAAGTTCCAGTATAGCCGGAGCTATACAGAGAAACCCTTTCTTGAAAAAGCAAAGATTATTCAAAAATATATAGCAAAAGGGTCAAATATTTTCCCCATTTCTAAATAATAAGCTTGTTCATGATTAGTATTATTTTTGTCTGTGCATTCTCCTAGGTACATCCTATGCATATATATGTAAGTATAGGCATATATGTAGGTATTTATAGCCCTGTGTATCCAATGTTAGCACAGTATATAAATTGTTCTACATGCCTTTTTTTCCACCAATACTGTATATCTTAAAGATCACTACATACATATTTCAGTTACCTACCACTTCATAAAAAAATCACCTCATTACCCAATAGCTTGAACAGGAGCTTACCATAATAAAAATGTGGAACTCTAAAGTGTCTTTAATAGTTCTTAGATTGTCTGATCTTGACTAGGCAGTTCTTCCTCAAGGTCTGACATTCAGCTTTTGTCAGACATTGAGCCATGGATGAAGTCAGCCAGGTTTTCTCACTCATATACTCAGGAGTAGATACTGGCTGTCAGCTACAAATTCATCCTCATTACCTACAGCTCTAATGCTTTCAGATGATGCCCCATGTGTCCTTCCTCACAGCATGATGGCAAGGTTCTTACAGAGTCCCAAGAAAAGGAGAACAGGGTGGAAACTGTATTTTCTCTGATGACCTAGCCTCAGAAATTATCCAGTCTCTCTGTTACCAAGCAGACCTGGTGTCCTTTTGTTTTTGTTTATTGGCTTCTGTTTTTTTGTAACTGGGAAGAGGAACCTCAGTTGAAAAATGCCTCTATCAGATTGCCTGTAGGCAGGTCTGTAGGACGTTTTATTGATTGAATTGAGGAGGGAGGGTCCAGCTCTCTGTGGACAGTGTCACCACTGGACAGTCCTCAGTTGTATAGGAAAATAGGTTGAGCAAGCCATGGAGAGCAGGCCAGTAAGTGGCATGCCCCCACGGTCTCTGTTTCAGTTCCTGTCTTGATTTCCCTTAATAATGAGTTATTACATAAAAATCTAAAATGAAATAAACCCCTTCCTCCCAAAGCTGCTTTTGGTCATGGTCTTTATCACAGCAACAGAAACCTGATTAAGACAACTGGATTTAAAGTGGGGGAGGGAGGAGAAGTGTAAAAATTATATTATAAGAAGAGCGTATTCAGTGGGAAATTGTTACAGACATTTTAGAAAATACAGTCTGATACTATGTAATCTGCCTTATATTTCTGTTTGTCTTTTAATTTTTATTAGTATACACTAATTATTATACACAATAGATTTATTTGATGCTTTTATACATGAGTATAATGTATTTGGATTATGTGCACCCCAATTCCTGTTATCTTCCATTGTCCCAATCCTGCTAATCCCATTCCTTTTCTCAACTAGTCCCCTTATTCTTCCATGCTTCTTTTTTTGTGACAGGGTCTTACTATCTAGTTCTGACTGATTTTGAGCTTTCTGTGTAGACCAGACTGGCTTTGGACTCACAGAGATCTCCCTACCTCTGCTTCCCAAATGCTGGGATTAAAGTTGTATGCACTATACCCAGCTCTTCCATTTCTTTTTATTGATGACTAAATAAATTACATTAGGGTGGTTTGCAGTAGTATGGGGCCTAGCTTTTATTTTCTTAATAGGTGTGAAAAATTGTATTATTTAAATATATTATAATTTATTTGACAACTCTCCTAATAATGATAGACATTTGGGTATTTTCTAGTCACTCACTATAGCAAACAGTGCTTCTGGTGAATTACCTCTTAACTGAAATTGCTTCATATATATGGAAAGAATTTATTCTACAGTTAAACCACAAGAGCAGAAATGGTGGGCCGTATGGTAACGGTTTTTAAGTATTGTAAGAACTGCCAGGCTCTTTTCAGAATTTGCAAATAGCCCTCTAGAGGCATTGTTCCAATCTTCACTCCCACAAGGGACTGTTTAAGTGATAAGCCACATCAATTTGGGGGCTTTTTAAGAGCTTGATAAAATGTTATCTTGATATAATATGCATTTTAATTTTTGTTACTACATGTGAAGTTGACTGCCTTCTATATTTATGGGGTACCAATGTTTATTTTGCCCAATTTTCCTTTGTTGTTGTTTACTTTATCTATTTTGACTTCTTTCTTTAATTTTTTTAGCAGAGTTGGCCTGTGAATTACAATTATTTTTCCTGTTTTGTAATTTGTTCTGCAATTTGCATACTGTCTTCAGTAAGAACTCTTTACTGTTTTGTATGTGTAAACTTACCGAACTCCAGTTTTGTGGCTTCTGCTGATGTTTCATGGTTAGAAAATCCTTTTCCTTTCCACATTATGAGCTAATTCCCCTTAAGATTTTAGCATTTTAATATTTATGTCTTCACACATTTAGAATTGTAAATTCTAAATTTACAGGCACTGATCCAACTTTTTCCAGAAAGCTACTTGATGCTTTTTAACATCATTTAATAAGTAATCTACATTCATCATATACTAAATTCCCAATTTCAGATAACTTTCTATATCTCTAACTTGATTTGTGTAACAGTAATTGTATAACAATCACATATCTGTCTCCTTTCAACAGAAACCAATTCTAATGTTCATAAAATACAGTCTGCTTTCAGAACTTAAACCTTTTTCAGTGATGTTGAAGCTTGAGATGTGGGTAAAAGAATGCATTGTGTCAAAGCATAGATAAATTACAAAATTTGTGTCTTAAACATTTAATTTCAAGATTGACAGATTGACTCTTACAGTTTTATAATTGTTTTTAATAAATAGTTTTTTTACTTAAAAAAAAGGCCAAAACAGACATATCCATTGTAACAGCAAAAAAAATATTTTTCTCATTTTTAATGTACTCCCATCTTTAAAATTCCAGAGGACCTGACTGGGACACTGAATTGTATGAAGAAGGGGGTGCTACTGTCAGGGAGCTTCTTAGCGAACTATATGGCAAAGTTGGTGAAATTCGGCACTGGGGTCTGATCCGATACATCTCTGGAATCTTAAGGAAGAAGGTGGAAGCACTTGATGAGGTACTAATAAGTTCTTGAATTTACACAAAATCTAAATGGGAAAACTTTAAAACTACTCCGGTGCTGGGAGTATAGCACAAAGGTAGGGTACTGCCTACTTTTCCTGGGATCCTTGCTTCAAGCCTTTGCACTGCAGGGGGATACCTTGAATTTCCTAATTGTTTTTTAAGCAACTGCAACTTCTAATTGTTTTCAATTGCATGTAAAGTTTCTGATACTCAGTTAGCTTTTTATTTGTGAATGTTTGGAAATCTGAAAATTTTAGAAAAGGTAAGCTCTGCTCCCTCTTTCTAGGCCTGCACAGACCTTCTCTCATACCAGAAACACCTGACGGTAGGACTTCCTCCAGAACCTCGCGAGAAGACCATCTCTGCGTGAGTGGGGCATGTGGTTGGCTTTTTATAAGGTTTCTCTGAAGCTTTAAGAAATTGGGTGAACTTATCACAATTCTCTTGTCCTGATTTGTATAACATCTTATATACAGAGCTGCAGAACAGGGAAAGGGCGGGATACAAGCAAATGAAAAGAGAAAGCTTCTAGGAAGTAGCACTTAATTGTTTTTTCTTATTGACTTCTTCTAAACCCCTTAATTCTACTCATTCTAAAAACACACAGAACATCAGGAGTTAACAACATAAATGGCAACCATAATCTGAAAAAGAAATAGAAGAAAGTAGATGGCTAGAGCATTGGGCTGTTACTGATGCAGCTCCATGCTGCTGAAGAAGGAGTCAAAGGTGTGAAGGTTAAAGTTGAAAGGGGAAATGGCACTCACAAAGCATCCTGAGTACACGTCTGCACAAGCACTATCATCAGCTTATTTCTTTGTAGCCGTTATGCTTATTGTCACGTGTTAAAGATTAACAATGAAAGACTGGTCTGGAAAGACATCGAGGCTGAGTTTTAAATGAAAATTATGTTAATATGGCAAGAGTGTGCCCCAGAGGCAATGAGTGAAATTTTTGCTGTGAGAGAACCAAACTTGGTGAGCTGTTGTGGCAGTGGTTTGGACTTGCACTGAGTTTTTAATTTTTAAAATAGATTTAGGCTAAATGATTGTAGAATTTGGTCTTCATTCACTGTTTTCTTCCTTAGACCTCTACCATATGAGGCACTCACTAAGCTAATAGATGAAGCCAGTGAAGGAGACATGAGCATTTCAATCCTTACACAGGTGGGCAGCATTAAAAAGCCTAACCTGGCAATTGATGTTTCAGTATTTGTTTTTAATGGACCTGACAACTTGCAAAACAGACATTGTGACGCTGTAACTTTTGTTTGTATCCATTCCGTACACAGGAAATAATGGTATATCTTGCCATGTACATGAGAACTCAGCCTGGCCTCTTTGCTGAAATGTTCCGACTTCGAATTGGTCTGATCATACAAGTTATGGCAACAGAACTGGCTCACTCTCTTCGATGCTCAGGTATTTATTTAATTCAGTAACTAATTGTAGGTGGAATTCACTTCTAGGGAGACTAAATGGAGGTTGAAATCAGGACGGGAAGGAAGGAACATTTTATTGATCCATTGTTGTTGATTATTTACTCTTTTTATTATTATTATTCTTTTGGCTTTTGGCAGGGGGCCCACCACTCAGCTACCAAATAAATCACACAGAGACTTATTATTACTTATAAATGCCTGGCCTTAGCTTGGCTTGTTTCTAGCCAACTTTTCTTAATTTAAATTATCCCATCTATCTTTTCCCTTCAGGCTTTTATCTTTCTCTCTTTCTGTGTACCTTTCTTCACATCTTTCTCCATGACTTGCTGTGTAGTTAGGTGACTGACCCCTGATGTCCTCCTCTCCTTGTTCTATCTTGCTCCTTCTTCTCCCCTCCCGGATTTCTCCCCCTATTTATTCTCTCTGCCTGCCAGCCCCACTTATCCTTTCTCCTGCCTTGCTATTGGCCATTCAGCTCTTTATTAGACCATCAGGTGTTTTAGACAGGCAAAGAATCACAGCTTCACAGAGTTAAACAAATACAACATAAAAGAATGCAACACAACTTTGCATCATTACAAATTTCCACAGAAAAACAAATGTAACACATCTTAAAATAATATTCTATAACAATCCATAGCTCAAAAACTGTGTAAAACTGTCTTGTTCTTGTGTTTCTTAGTAACTAAGCGAGCAAAAAGATGGCAACTTCAAAATGCCACTTCTTGTAGACTCTGCATTCCACATTCTTAACCAAGTTCTTTTAGCTGATTTCTTCCTGACGCTTCAAGGGCTTTAGAGATTGGTATTCTGTGTGGTTCTGATGGAAAGAAGGAAGCTTCTGGACATCAATGTGAGTCACTGAGTAGTATATCGGAGTATTAATGGTCTGTCAGGATCATGATCAAGTAAGGAAGTATTTTATTAACACTTATCTAACAAATGTAGTAGTACTTTCTCATCAGGATTTCCAGTCTGCAAATAAAGACCCAGAGACTTTTTATTATCATGAAAGCTTGGCCTTAGCTTAGACTTGTTCCTAACTACTCTTTATAACTTAAATTAACCCATATTTTTTATTCTACATTCTTCCACGAGGTTCATTACCTCATCTCCTTACTGTCCATCCTGTTTCCTCTGTGTCTGGCTGGTAACTCTGCCTTTCTTTTTCCCAGAGTCCTCTATGTCCCCAGAAGTCCTGTCTAACCTCTTCTTAACTAGCTATTTGCCATTCAGCTCTTTATTAAACCAATCAGAAGGCGCCTTGGTAAAGACACATCTTTACAGTGTAAACAAATATTCTGAAACATTTCTGTTTTTTTAAATAAAAAGGAAAGTTATCTCTAACACAATGAAAGTATATACAATAAGAACAATTATCAGGTAAGAATTACATTCACAACATCGAGTTCATTTGTATCTGGCAAATCCAAAGAAGCTACTCTATTATCTATCTTATCTTGGTAAGATAAGTTCAAAGTTTTGTACCTGATTTACTTCCTTTTATAACTATGGAAAACTGTAACTATTAACTATCTAATCTTCAACCCCATCAGATACCTGAACGGATATAATATTACCTGAAAAAACAAGAAGTACAGAGAAAGTAACTTCTAAATCTAAGAAACAACAGAAATATCTGGCTGCCTGGACAGTCAACCCAAGGTTCCTCTGTAACTTTGGGGCATCCATCTTTGGCCTATGGGCCTAGAATATCTGACAGACTTTTCTGTGAAGCAGGAAATTTGAAGAACTGTCCTATCTATCTTTGCAAAGTTAAGCAGTCACCTTCTTTTGTGCCCTGCTTATCCAATTTGGACAGTATACATATCAGCAATCAAGGCAAAGGCAGTTTCTTGCCCAGTGGCTATCTTCACCACAGTAAAAGCAAACTTCACATGAACGTTCTTCAATGTCCATCATCTTTTAATGAAGTAGATTGGTGTTGCCAGGAACAGATATGTCTTATTGTCATGAAAAGCCTTATGTTATCAAAACATTTTTAAGTGACATAATCCGTACATCTTTGAGGTGTTTGAAGACCATCTACCTATTTGAAATATTTCTCTTACTGACCTTGAAAACATACCTAACATGACCATAAATTTGATTGTATAGATGACTAACTACTAACCTGTATTTCTTTATTATCCTAAATAGTTTTTAAGGACTAGAACTTTATGTTACTTTTTTTTTTTGTTTTTTGAGACAGAGTTTCTCTTTGTAACATCCCTTGCTGTCCTGGAACTTGCTCTGTAGACCAGGCTGGCCTCAAACTCAGAGAGATCTGCCTCCCTCTACCTCTCAAGTGCTGGGATTAAAGGAATGTGCCACCACTGCCTGGTTTTTATGTTACATGTATAAATGAGCTGCATAGGTTCAATACATTAAACAAGTGTAGAAACATGAATTTGTATCAATATACAAAACTCCATAACAATATTTGAGATTAATGTTCCTTCCCCACTTTTTCAAGAAAAAAAATCTCTTAAACTAACTACTTTGTTTAGTTTTTTTCCCTGAGCATGACAAGTAACACCTTGCAGATAAGTCCCCTAAACAATGACACACATCCATAGCCCACCCAACAACCAAAAATTGCCCAGCCCACCTATTGGGAATGGGAGTGTCATGTTCCCTAGACTGCTTCCTGTTGTCTGGGGTGATGGCATTTTTAGGACACCCTGAGAAAATTTGGATAATGGTCAAGTCCTGGGAGAGCTAGCAGTATAATTTTTATTTTGTCTCTGTGTGATGGGAGAGTGTAGATAGACCTTGTCTGAAGTCCCAGCTGGAGTAGTCTGTGAGGCTGGACCATCTCAGCTAGCAGCTGAGATCTAGTTGTTCTGGATGCAGAACTTTGAGGAAAATATAACAGAAGCATTCGGAGAGGCTGAATCACCAGGGCGACTTGTCTTCATTGGTGTCTGGTCTTTTTGTTCTGAAAATACACAAACTTTTAAAGGTAACATACATATCTGCATTAATATAAGTATGGAATGTGCAGTGTGCACAAGTCAGCTAAAGATTATTTTTTATTTTATGTGTGAGCAGGTAAAAAGGCATTTGTCAACTTTATAAGTATATTTGGATTCTATAGCCAAATTGCTATAGAAATTTGTCTATCTATATGAAAGGATGGCATGTAATATTGAGTCTTGAGGACTCTGTAGCCAACAAGATATATCCTGTCTCATCCAGTCTCAGAGCTGTTCAATGACAAGGGATCAGCATATATGTCATCAGTCCTGTAGTCTTTCCTGGCTTACTCCGTCATGTCTGCAGCCAAGAACCTCGGAAATCTCCCCCATCAAACCTGATCTTTATAATTTTGAAGATGTTTAGGTTTTGCATTTCCTGTGGAAACAAAGCACAACCTCTCCCACAATGCAACACATTTCCTAGCTTTCATTATAAAGCCAAGACATCTCTAAGTATATAGGCTGGTTTAATTTATCAGTCTCTTCCAGAATCCAGTGTCTCTCAGCAGCTGCCATCCTCTGTTAATTAGCCTTTAAAATAATTCAAAATTATTAAAGCACTATATAAGGTACAAACTCCCTTATTATAATATTTCCCATCCTTAAGTGGCTAATTTTTTAATATTATTGATTTTTATTGAGCTGTATATTATTTATTTATTGAGCTGCCTCTCCCCTCCCCTTCAACCCTCCCACAAGGTCCCCATGCTCCAGATTTACTCAGGAGATCTTATCTTTTTCTACTATCCATGTAGATTAGATCTGTGTATGTCTCTCTTAGGATCCTCATTGTTGTCTAGGTTCTCTGGGATTGTGATTTGTATGATTGTCTATGATTGATGTTTAAAAATGACATGTGATAATTGTCTTTCTGGATGTGGTTTACCTCACTCAAAATGATGTTTTCTAGCTCCATCCATATGCCTGCAAAATTCAAGATGTCATCATTTTTCTCTACCATGTAGTACTCCTTTGTGTAAATATACCACATTTTCCTTATCCATTCTTCGGTTGAGGAGCATTTAGGTTGTTGCCAGGATCTGACTATGACAAACAATGCTGCTATGAACATAGTTGAGCACATGTCCTTGTGGCACAATTGAGCATCCTTTGGATATGTACCCAAAAGTGGTATTACTGGGTCTTGAGGAAGGTTGTTTCCTGATTTTCTGAGAAATTGCCACACTGACATCCAAAGGGGCTGTACTAGCTTGCACTCCCACCAACAATGCAGGAGTGTTCCCTTTACCCCACAACCTCTCCAGCATAAGTTGTCATCAAAGCTTTTGATCTTGGCTATTCTTACAGGTATAAGATGGAATCTCAGAGTTGTTTTGATTTGTATTTCTCTGATGATTAAGGATGTTGAACATTTCCTTAAGTGTCTTTCAGCCATTTTAGATTCCGCTGTTGAGAGTTCTCTGTTTAGGTCTGTACTCCATTTTTCTATAGGATTATTTGTCCTTTTGATGACCAATATTTTGAGTTCTTTGTATATTTTGGAAATCAAACCTCTGTCTGATGTGGGGTTGGTGAAGACCTTTTCCCATTCTGTAGGCTGTCATTTTGTCTTGTTGACCAGGTCCTTTGCTTTACAGAAGCTTTTGAGTTTCAGGAGGTCCCATTTATTAATTGTTTCTCTCAGTGTCTGTGCTACTGTGGTTATATTTAGGAAGTGGTCTCTAGTCCCAATGAGTTTGAGTGTACTACCCACTTTCTTTTCTATAAGGTTCAGTGTGGCTGGCTTTATGTTAAGGTCTTTGATCCATTTGGACTTGAGTTTTGTACATGGTGATAGATATGGATCTATTTTCATTCTTCTACATGTTGATATCCAGTTATGCCAGCACCATTTGTTAAATATGTTTTCTTTTTTCCATTTTATATTTTTTGCTTCTTTGTCAAAAACCAAGTGTTCATAGGTGTGTGGATTAATATCCAGGTCTTAGATTCAGTTCCATTGGTCCTCCTGTCTGTTTTTATGCCAACATCAGGCTGT